GCTCAAAACCGCAAAACTATGCAAGAAAACCAACTACTACAGGGCAACGCCGCAGTCGACGTCTTAAGTTACAAACAATCTAATCTGCCCAAGCACGTAACATATAGGGATAAACATCCCCCACCAGACTCCTGGAACCAGTTCATTTTAGATCCTCTTGGATGGTTGCACTTGTGGGATAAATTCCAGGCTACACCACTATCGCAGGACGATCAGCTGCAAATAGTCGCTGACATTAGACAATACTTGGGAGCAGATACGCTGCCCCCGGCAGCTCTGGCTAAACCGCAAGTAGATCCCGAAAGATTCCAGAGTTTAGACAGATGCGTTACCTCCCGGAAATGGTTACCCTCAGTGAACAAATGCTGGGCACAACATTACACAGGCTTCCCGAGCGACCACTACCTCTTAACCTTACAACTTAGAGTTAAGTTGTCAGGTAAAATGCCCAGACACGTGCCTCCCCCCAAACATGATTACTCCGCGATAACACAGCATGCGCCAAGAGTTCAATCGCGTAGTCAAGCAGCAGCTTAACCTCGCGGACACGTGCGCGCATTCGCTATGGGAAGTTTACACGGACGGGTCCGGCTCCCGCGGCCGCTGCACAAGCATCACCCCAGCTGGTTGGGGCGTATATATTGAAGACCAGGATGGATGGACTACAGAAGCGTGTGGACCCGTAGAAACTGACGAGTACTCCGCCCACTACCTAGGAGCCACAGTAGGAAGCAACAGCACGGGAGAACTTACCACCTGGATGGAAGATGATGGAAGCAGGACTCTATATTCTAGCTATGAGTACACCGCCATCACATATCACATTTCACTGCGACAGCCAGTGGGCAGCGCACATGGTCACAGGCCAATTCAAGGCTAAAAGACACAAGGCCTTGGCACGCACGGCAAAACAAATCTATCAAGCGCTACAGCGCAGATCAAATGTTCAATGGCACTGGGTAAAGGGACACACAGGCAACGCAGGCAAGCGGAGCAAGGTAAAACGCAGGGTGCTCCGCAAGGTGGCCGCTACACCATCTCCCCACTTTGTACCCCAGCACACCTGGAGTCAGCCGACGCCAGTGCTCCTTCAAATCCGCTCACTAATCCGCAAGACTTTGTTAACGCGCTCTTAGAGGCGGAAAAGCAGGCCATTCCGATGTTAACACGCCGCCCGCGCAATCCGTGGATCACTCCCGAGCTAGCGCAGGAACTACAAACCGCCAAGAGGTTAAGAGTAGCACACGACACCGAAGCGGTAGAGACCTACAAACGTCTTGAAACCAAAGCACGCAAACACAAGCGACAGTGGCTGCGAGAAAAAGTGTCGCAGGCCAACGAAGAATCACATACGTCCCTCTGGCGCGTTGTTAAAAGTTTCAAGCGCGGTTTTAGAGAGCGCAAATCCAGGTTAAAACGCAACGGAGCTCCCGTGCCTTGTCCGGAAAACCACAAGGTTTTTGCGGAATTCCTCAGCACGCAACAATGGGGACCAACCACAGTTACAGAGGACGAGCGACAACTGCTTAAAGAATCGCCCTCCCTGGCTAAACCGCCGACGCAGCCCCCCTTACCTTTTACAACGCAAGAACTTTCCGATGTTCTCAAAGACCTCAAGAGCAACCAGGCCCCAAGACCAGACCGCCTGCCTGAAACTTTAAAACTACTGGACTACGTAGTGGAGGCAGAATTGCTACAGGTTCTTAACCACTGTTTCGTTACTGTTTCGTTACACGTACAGTCCCAGACACCTGGAAGGAAGCAAATATAGTCAGCATTTTCAAAGGTAAGGGCGACGATTCAGACCCTGCCTCATATCGACCCGTCTCTCTCCTTAACGCGCATGATCATGTCCTTAGAGAAACTCAGTATGGTTTTAGAGCAAACCGCAATACCACACACCCGCTTTTCATCTTGCGCAGGTTGCAGGACTATTCACTCAAAAACGGACAACCAATGCATGTCGTTCTGTCAGACTGGAAGATGGCGTTCAACAAAAGTAGACCACGAATCCATGTGCATTGCCACAGAACGCCTCGGAGTACACCGCCACTACGTAGACATCATTAGGGACCTTTATTCAGGCCAATCCTTTAACACACTAGGAAAGCAGCGTTCACAGGAAACGGCTAAACCGCACACAGGCATTCGCCAAGGATGCCCCCTTAGTCCGTATCTATTTATCATGGTAACGACTGCACTATAATGCACGACGTGGACGCCAGATTGCGCACGCACGGCGTACCTACCAACACTTGGTCCGTGGGCAAACGCGTGTATGATCTAGAGTATGCCGACGATACCCTACTGATTGCAGTAACTAAACCGCAAGCAGAAGAATTTCTTCGTGCTATTCAGGTTGAGTCTTCCCTGTATGGCCTGTCGCTCAACCTCACTAAAACCGAATTGCTAACCCACCCTCAGGCTCCGCCCGGAAACATACATTACGTCAATGGAGATCCAGTCGTCAACACCGAAGAAGCCAAAAATCTCGGAACCCAAGTCGCCTGGTCCCACCCTACCAGAACAGCCATGAAGCACGAAAGAATAAAAGTCACGTCGCATATCTCAAACTCCAATAACTATGGCGCAGCAGAATAAACAGTCGAACCAAAGTAAAAAAAAAACGTTATAGCCAGTATTGTCCCGGTCCTTTTGTATGGCCTCGAGGTCTTATCCCTCGAAAACCGACACCTGAAAACAGTAGACGCCTGCTTTCATAGATACCTTCGGCGATGCATAGGAGTAAAAGCTTCCTTCTATTCACACATCACAAACCCTAGGGTTTGGAAGGTATCGGGTAAACCGCCGCTCCCGTCCCAGACCCTGCTTTCTCGACAGATTCAGCAACTCGTGGACATCCTGGCTAACCCGCCCAGCAATCCACTACACCACGTCGTTTTCTCACCGATCCAAGCATCGAGGCCACCCCTGCCGATACTGGTACGAACTAACTCTTGAAAGAATTTTGCCTATCTACCACCACTATCTGGACCACACCGCCCCTGGTAAGTTCAGGGACTTCAGAAGGGACTTTCCTTGGGTTAAAACAGCTTCTTTAAGCCTACCCCGCCTTCAAATCGCACCTGGTAGCTGCGCCGACGCGCCAGCCAGAATTACTCCGCTTTCTGCAATGTACAGTCGGGAGCGCATGGCAGCCTTTAAAAAAAATCGAAAGTGAGCCACAAAACCCAGCAACCCAGAAGCCCGCAACCCAGAAACCATCTAAACCCACAAGCTGCAACCCAGCAGCCCTAAACCCCTGAACCCAGAAGACCGCAACCCCGAAGCGTTAAACCCCGAAGCCACGAGAATGAGCCACAAAACCCGGAAACCTAGGTCACCCGGAAAAAGCGAGATGACAATGCACGGTGCTACAATGCATGTCATCGTTTCAAACCTCCCAACCGGTTTCTGGCTTTAAAATGACACCCCTGGGTTACCCTAGATTTTGGCAAGAAAACACAACAAGTCTGTAAAATGACCCGCCAGGGCTCCTAGAAAATTTTGCAAACAGATAGCCTCTATCAAATGACCAAACCCATTTTATGGGGAACTAGGGTTGGCCATTTTATAGAGCCATATTCAAGGGGTATTGCTTTGCCACCAACCCTAGTTACTAAAAGAACTGAATTGCCACGGGCCGCTGGCCGAGGGGCTAGTTGTTTTCGGCCTCTGTTTAGTCTGTTTAGGCAGCGGAAGGGGACCAATCCGAACATGCCGTGTTGGTGGATTGCGAAACCCAAGGAGATGATGTTGGTTGCCAAACCCCGGACCCTAAACGGAGATGGTGTGTGACAAGCCCCGAACTCGAGAAGAAACGAAACTTGGCAAATCCTGCACCTTAACACGAGATTTGGGTTGGCAAATCCCAAATACCGTTGGAGCTCTGCAGGGCTCTGAGAGGCTCTGCAGCACAGTTGCACCAGCGAAAGATGTGGCGGCAGCAGCAGCAGCAGCAACAGCAACAACAATAATAACGACAACAGCAGCAGGGGTAGCAGCATGATTCGGCGTTGTTTGCTGAATCGGTCCTCGGGTTTTTCCCGAATCTGTTCTCGAAATGCAACACGTGCTTCTGAAGGCATCCCAAGACAATAGTTTGTCGCACTGACTCTGTGCGGCTGTTACAGACAAGCTGCTTGCCTCGCCGGTGCACCTTGCTTCACTGCTTCGTTGATGGCTTCCTGAAGCACCATCCGGATTTGCATGTCAGCCTGAGGCACCGATTGTTTGTCAGACGACCCGCTGTGCGAACGGACATCAATGAGGATGAGGGCACGGGACCCTTTACCTTACTCCAAGCCCTTTTGGACCCGGGATCCCGAAGATGACATCCAGACTCAGGCCTCTGCCGCCAACGGCATGCCGCTAGGGCTGCAGACTAACACAATACCCAACTCCACTCTGTACAGCTGCGGGACGTGCACTTTCAGACACCGAGATAGTCTACAACAAAAGGATCACGAAGGTATGGTCCGACTGCTGCTGCCACTGAGACTCCAGCAGGTCTGCGAGATCATGCACGCCTCCACCATCCTCTCCTTCCTGCCGGCCATCAATCATACTCCACCAGATGAGGACAGGAAAACAGCCCTAGCTCTTTGCGGACCCAATTCAGTTGATAGCAAAACAGGCAGGCGCCCTACTGCAGCGGGATGCAGATCCGCCTCAAGCTCCCCGCACTGGCATGCGGTCCATTTTGCCTGCGGCAGTTGCACATTGACATGGAAAGCAAAGAAGCCCCAGGTCTGCCGCCGGAAGCTGCATGCGGCAGTTTGGCATCAGCGACTCTCCCGCCCGTTGATCGATGCTCGTCGGGGACAGAGGTCCTGTGCCAGAGTCCTCTAATTAATGGTTAAAAACATGCAGCGGAACGAAACGGGTGCTAGCATGAGCGTCTCTCACCATTGAACGCTCGTCGGAGACAGAGCTCCGGCACTCCGATTCTTTTCGCCTGTGCAGTTAAAAGCATGCATGATTCGAGAGCCGAAACTCATTCAAACAGAAACGGTGAGCAGTGTCGAGTCTGTACCAGCGCCGAGCAACAAGTAGTAGATCAACAAGCCGTAAGTTTCACGAAACGTAAGAAGCATCTCAAGCTGCCGTTCATTGCGCCACTTTTCCATTTTGCACTGTACCAGCGACAAGGGTTTGTCGCCGTTGTCATCAACCTTGTTGACCTCCGCCCCAGCCTCCAAGAGCATCTGCATCATTGCCATAGCCTGGTCGAGGAGCATTAACTGTCGTGGGCTAGTTGCGGTGGGCATGCCTCCAGAGCTTCAGGTCTCCATGCACACACCCCAGACTGGATTGAACAAGTCTTGCTAGCTACAAGTCGCTGCGGGCGGTACGACACTTGCACGGCTCTGCTCCTACAGGCCCACAGTACCAAAAGTCTCCGTCTGCACAGATATCCTAGAGCACGATGCTGTGCGAAAACTTATATGTTTTGAACAGAATCTCTACCACCCCCGCACCCCCACCCTGACCCACCGCACCTGGCGATTCCTGAGGCGAAACAAGCCGCCGTCGTCCCACCTATAGGGCGTCTTCTCGGTTGCGTAGGTCAGGGGTGTAGTGCCTCTGCCATCGCAAAAGTCTGCCAACGGATACCTCCTCAGGTCTCTGTCTCTCCAGTCGCTGCTCTGGTTGGGATCTGCCTTGTTCTCCAGGGCCGCGCGGCATGGCCCGGACCCTGCGTCGATGAGGTCTCGCAGAGAGATGCAGTCGGGGTGCACGTGGCGGCTGTTCAGCAGGTACCAAACCTCCTCGTAGCTGATCTCCAACAGGTGCGCAGTGAACTCGAACCCGATCCCCTTCTGGAGTTGCTCGACTGGCATCACCTCCAAGCGCAGGAGGGGCGAATCCAGCTGCTCCGGGCACAAACCTGGGAAGACCTCCTCCTCCTCTTCGAAATTCTCGTAGCGGGGCCGCAGCAAAGCCCACAGCTTGATTTGGGGAGGCCAACAGCCCAAGCACTCAGCGAGCTCCTTCTTCGCCTCGGGAACCAAGCGCTGCGGCTTCTCTCCCAGCTTCGAAAGGTCGAAGGACATGATGTTGACGGGCGTGCCGGAGGAATCTCTCTGCCAGAAGACGAGAGGTCCGCTGGGTCCGGGGCCAAGCCTCCCCCGCCAGAGGTCGAGCTCCTGAAGCCTCCTGAGCCTCTCGCGACTCTCTGCGAGATCTTGGAGGCAAATCCTCAAGGCATCGTCCAAGAAGGAATCTCCCTTCTGCTTGAGCTCGTGCTCCGGCTGCGGCGGAAGCGCCTCCAGCCTATGGTTGAAGGCCCGCAGCTGGACAGCCGCCTCCAGAAGTGATGGCCACGTCGGATCTGCCTGGCCCCATGGCCTCTCAGGTTTCGGTGGACGGAAGGAGTACGGAGATATCCTTGCTTCGCCAAACGGATAGTCATCATGGCGACCACCAGCGACACGCCCTTGAAATCCAAGCAGGTTGCGCAGAATGATCACGAGTGCGAAGTAGTCGAGGCGGGGATCGGCAAGGGGCAGCTCGACTTTCATGTCGCTAGGGGTCTCGCCGTGGAGATCGCAGCGAAGAAAGGTGTAGGTAGGGAATTGACCATACAGCTGCAACAGCACCCGCCACACTGCTCTGAAAGCCAAAGCATAGCTCTGACGGATGTTGGCAGTTTCGGGCAGATCCTTCAATGCCCGCCATGTGAATCCTGGCCGTCGTGCAGCTGAGCCGAGGTCCGCCAGGTACAACTGGCAGTGATCTTCACTCCACAGCAAGTTGTCCGGTGTGATATCCATGTGACAGAGCCCACACTGGTGCATTCTGCGCAATGCGAAGAGAACGTTAACCGCGGACCTGAGGATGCCTGCCAATCGGATGCTGTTGCAACGATTCTGATTGACGCTCAGCTGAGTGCTGCTGCTGTGCGTCCAAAGCTGTCGCATTGTGCAGTCCATCTTCTGCAAGGCCATGCCAGTTACCTGCACACCACCGACCCATGCCCGGATGTTGCAGAGCCAAGGAACAACGCCCCGGCAATCGCACAGCAACTGGAGGACCTTCGCTTCCTCTTGCAGCATTTCCTCGCGACGACGCACTCGTTTCACATCGTCCACTTCGTCCAGGAGGAGCACGTCGCTGACGTGGAAAGGCAACCGGTGGACTCGCGGCAGCTTCACCACTGCATCCTCCCCATTCAACTTGCCTTCCACCGGGTGTACAGTGCCAAATGTGCCCCGGGCGAAAGCACGGCCGACATTGAGCTCTTGCCCGGTGCCTACGACCACTACCTGGTCAGGCTTCGGCAATCCCGGATCAGCCGGGAGACCGTATGACTGTGAGCGTTTTCTGAATCTTCCTGGCGCGCACTCTAAGAGTCTAGATGCCATGGCTGCAGATAGAGGCGTGCAGGCACTAAGGTTTCCGATGCGAATGCCTTGATCGCAAGAGACGGAACGCTGGATCGCTACTCGAGTCCAAATGCAACTGGGTCTCCTGTGACTTTGAAACCCACACAGCTCACAGCACAGAACGCGAACGCGTTCACATCATTGAGAGATCTGCCCCGGCATGTCTCCGCAACTTTGCCTCGATCCCGCGACGGAAGGTGACACCCGGACTCCTCAGCGCCCATGGAATGTCCTGGACGGCGACGGCATTGCTTTTCGGGTTGTCGCTTGTAGCACCCTGGAACCTGGGGCTTGTCTCTGAAACGATATTCTGCAGTCTGGTTTCTGATCGTTGCCACGGACGATGAGGATGCCGACGATGAGAATACTCCTACTCCTGCTCCTGCAATTACTCTTGCTCCTCCTGCTCCTGCTCCTACGACTCCTTCGACGATGACTACCACTGCTGCTGCTACTGCCACTGCCATTACTACTACTACTACTACTACTACTACTACTACTACTACTACTACTACTACTACTACTACTACTACTACTACTACTACTACTATTGCTACTACTGCTACTGCTACTACTACTACTACTACTACTACTACTACTACTACTACTACTACTACTACTACTACTACCATGTTCAATTCAGTTGGACGAGAGCGGGCTCAGCATTTTGGGGGCGATTGCCGCATGTGCACTCACGGTTGTGTGAAACTGTCCCTTTGACCCTGTTGGTCTGAAAATCTAAAGGAAACCGATATTGCTAGCTGGTGCTGTGCATTTGTAGCCGCATGAGCATCAGTTGGCCAGGTGCGTTGCAGTTGGGCCCCCATCAGCCCCTTGCGAGCAGTGAACAGCACTGTACCTGGAATGCAGTGCCATAGTGCTAGAGCAGATGACACTTGCGGCTGCAACAGAAACACTGGAGCTATCGCGAAAGCATTTCTTTAGCTGACCTTGTGGCGTCGGCAGGCGTGCGAGAAGGCCATCAATGCCGGCTTGGGCAGGAAGAAAAAGCGGTGTGGTCAGTGCCTCCGCGGTCCGTCATGCTGGCAGCCATTGGCACCGTGAAAAAGAAAATGCTATTCACTGGCGCCATTGGCGGCTGCCACTGGGGCCCGAACCCGAGCCTCGTTGCCACCAATTTTCATCAGACCATTGTTGGTCTGTCCACGCTTCGCCTTCACGGTAGCGCTTGTCCGCCTGAGTGGACGGAGCATCACCTTGTCGTTTGTCGCGCTGCTCCTTCTGCCGATGCCATATGAAGGCCGGCGTGTCACCTTTGTTGTGCTCGATGCGCAGCTTTCGTTGGACCCGTCCATCCTTTGGCTGGTAAAAGATGGCGCGATTCAGGCCGCCACATTTTAGACTTGTCTGGTCGTAGATACATTTGACCGTCGAGGCCACAATCTCGAAATTGTCATCGGTCTCCAAGATGTCGTTCATCTCCGGCCTGTCCCACATCTTCTGGAAGGGGGAGTGCATGATGCCGTAGTAGACGATGAGTGCCTTAAGCTCCACGTTGCGGTCGCCTTCACCTATGGACAAAGTAAACTGGTCAGTGGCACCGATGACAAGTTTGGTGGCCGTAACATCTGGCCATGTGGCGTCCTTGTCCGTTGCGGTCAGCTTGATGTAAGCGAAAATCCAAGGAACCCTGCTGAGGACGGCTATCTGCTTGCTCCACATGATAACCTGCTCGGAGGCAGTGAGTCCACCCATAATGGCCGGCTCCTTCATGATTGAGATCGTGGCCAAGGAGTGGAGCCACTCCAGCATTTGATCTGACTGACAGATCTGTATAATTTGGTCACGTTTGGGGAGTAGGCTGGCCTCCTGCTTCGGTTCTCGCTGTAGTTGAGGAGCTTGGTGGTGGTGACTGGACCCTGGTATTTGAAGAGGCGCCCGGCTCCGGGGCAGCAGGACCTTCCGAGCTTGTGCTGGGACGGCTGCAGGGAAGGCAGTGAATCGACGGCCATCCTTGTATCTGGGCATGGCCGTGTCGTGCGAAGCCACCGATAAGCCGAGCTTGGAGTGGGAGGGTTGTGGCGAGGCTGGCAGGGGCCTGGCTCTGATCTTTGATGGCTGCACCCAGCGCGGGTTGGGTGGGGTGGCGGGGTGGTCGTCGCTGCCGTCTGTGCCGTCCCATCACCCTGCTGTCGTTGTGTCCACATGCTGGGTCCGGTCTGGGGAGGTGGGTAGGGTGGCTCTATCACAATGGGATTGCCGCTGCTCTTCGAGAAGTGATGCGTGACCCCAAGCTCGTTGGGGATGTTGAGACTCTCGCAGTATCTGCATGAGAAGATGAGTGCATAGGCCTCTGGGAACGTTGCGCATGACGGCCTCAGCGTTGCGCATCACAGCCTGAGCAGTGATTCCATGGTAATGGGGCTCCTCGTGGATGGCTGCCATAATTCTGTCAAAGTCCCCCTCCTCAAAGCTGCTAAGGACGATTTCGCCCACGACACGAACTCCAGCGTTGGTGGGCAGTGAAGGCCTAGGTGCAGCTGCGCTTCCGGCTTCGATGACCTCAGTAATTATCTGCGGCACACTCTGCATGAGGGTGTTCTCCATGCGCTGGCGGGCTCCGGCATCACCGCGGAAGCTTTCTGCCAGTTCCAGCATCTCGTGCACGCCACACATTGTGGCCTGACCGGGTTTCGAAGAAGTGCTCATCGTTCTGGAGCTCCTTGGGCTGCTTGAGCTGCGGGGAGTGTTTTTCCCGGCGGAGGTAAATGGCAACAACTGGAGGGCGCCCGAGATCAACAGATAACAGTCGCCATAACTCCTTGCAGAAGATCATGTACTCGAGATTGGCCATCCGGGTCAATGTCGCGGCTGGCCGTAGATCATGCCCGGGAAGATGTGATAATTTTGAACGCCAAGGGCCATGATCATGTACTCCCTGGGCAGTGTGCATGGTTGGCCTTGCGGGCAGCGCCCCAGTGCAACTTGGACAGTGCCCCACTCCTTTGCCAAGATTTTCAGGATGTCATCAAAAGGGATCCTGAGGGCAATCTTCATTTCAAGGTAGAGGCCTCCGTAGTGGTAGTGATAGACATACCTGAAAACATCGGCCTTGTGGGCTGACGCAGACTGCGAACAAGGCGCTCATCCCCCAGCGTGTAATTTGAGAGTCTGGATCAGGACCTCGCCGTTGCAAAAGGTTCGCTCGAAGTCCGCCAGGAATTACTTGCACATGCCAGGGGGGCCGGCATGGTCATCGTGCATGTAGGTCTGGAAGAGGCTACGGGGCATGGGTCGTCGTCCAGCATGAGGCCGGTAGACCCATTCTTTGCCTGTGTGACGGGCCGCCACCTTGGTCTGCAACGACTGGGCGAAAACGACAGTTGTTGGAGGTGTAGATCTGCTCGACCAGGGACCAGGGGTCCTTGTAGGCTCATGATGGTGTCGGCGCGGATCTCGTGCATCCCTATAGCCCGTATTGGTCGCGGACGGTGGATCGTAGTTCTTCTGCTTGTGGGGCAACAGGCTTTCCCGGAGAGGGATGAGCCGCACGCTGACCTCCTCGTAGAAGTGCCTCATTAGGAAGTCAATCAGCTCGGCGCTCTCGGACGGGAAGGCTGTGGTTTCACCCAGAACTCGGATGTAAGTGACGGGGTACGCATGGTACTTTCCGAGTGGTCTGCAGTCAAGGTGGCACCTGGGCAGGAGCTAGCGAAGCCGTGCATTGCACCCCATTGCAGATTGACCACACCGTAGGACCGGCCAGTGGCCCAGACCATAGGAGGTGTTGCAGTGTGCTGTCGCTAAGTACCAGAAAAGGCGTGGGCGATGGCGGCGAGGCTGCCCTGGTGCCAAAGAGCCCTCCGATGGTCCGGGGCTATGACTACTGCGTGATCCGAGGCGTTTATATACCATGCCACCAAATTGAGAAAAACCGCTACGATGAGCTATGGATCTGCGCAAGATCTGTCACGATGAGGGGTGGATAGCGCGTAGAGTGCTTGCTGCAAAGGCCGTCTGCTGCTACTTTGGGATCGCCTGGATGCCTGAAGCACACACTTCCCTCGTGTAGGCTGCCTGCAGAGAACATGAGCATACTCCTAGCGACAAGGCTGTCATCACAGCAATAAGGGGCACGTGTTTTTCGCCAGCCAGAGTCTGCCCGGAGCGCATTGTGGCAGTAATTCTGCTTGGCCACCTTGGTACCACCGCTGAAGGAAAAAGTAGAATGTTGTCTGTGCTGCATGCATGCCTGTATCAAACTTAAGCAGCGCAGTCAGGACGCAAATTTCTTTTTCATGAAAAGCAGGGCGTTGTTGGATTCGCCTTGTCGCTTATGGCTTATGCCAGGATCAACCTTACTGAGCACAGGCATCGCTCCCGATGTGAGTTAGTCTGCTATCTCAGCTGTGCTGCCGCGATGACTGGCTGGTGAGTCTGACTATGTCAGAGCCGCCAGCTTGAAGCCTAGGCCATGTAAATATCGTGGCGAATGCTGCGACAGTTTGTAAGCATCGCGGACATGGTAGGTGCCCAGTATCAGGCGACGGCCAGACCAGGGTAGAACTAGATGTCGTTTGGCGGCGTCAAAGCTCAGGTATGGCAGGGTAACTGGGTAGACATAGCGGCGCATGAATGCCAAGCATGTATAGTTGCCCTCTTCATCCTCGACAAATAGATGGCCGCCCTCAAAATTGGAGAGAGGAGTAAGTTGGCAGCACCGGAGTTGTTGCGATCTGTGTGGAGGCCCATCGCCATGTTTCTGGCTAGGAACAAAGTCACGCGGCAATGGCCGCCCGCCATTTTTTGAACTGAGTTGAGCAAGCGGTGGCGGGTGGTCATGGGGAAGCGCTTGTGGTCTGTGAACGTAGTCCGGCCAGTGGCCCCTGGACGTAGGCTCCGAGTGTGACAATCTTCTGGTCACTCGACTGAGGCAGTGCCAACGACTAAAGCCTGCAGGTCGCGGTGGATGGCAGAAGGTCCAGAAGCGTGTCGATGCTCGAAGGTAACCCAACGTC